GGGTCAGAGGGAGAAGCAGACTCCCTGCCGAGCAGGGAGCCCGATGCGGGACTCGATCCCAGGACTCCGGGATCATGACCCGAGCCGAAGGCAGCCGCTTAACCAACTGAGCCACACAGGCGCCCCTTTTTTTTTAAACATATATTGCATTATTTGTTTCAGAAGTACAGATCCGTGATGAATCCCAAGACTTTTGTAAGCAGTGGTCAGTGTTTAGATTTTTCGTGTGTGTGTGTGTGTGTGTGTGTGTGTAGTAAAATATGCGTAACATAAAATTTACCATCTTAACCATTTTTAAGTGCACCCTTCAGTGGCATTTAATACCTTCATACTGTTGTGAAACCATCCATCACCAGAACTCCCTCATCTTCCCAAACTGAAACTCTGTACCCATTAAACAATGACACCCTCATCCCTCCTTCCCCCAGCCCCTGTCAACCCCCATTCTACTTTTCTGTCTCTGTGAATTTGACTAAGTACCTCATATAAGTGGAATTATTCAGTATTTTTCCTTTTGTTTCTGCTTTATTCCCCTTTGCATAATGTCTTCAATGTCCTCCGACTCTTGATTTCAGCTCAGGTCAGGATCATAGGGTTGTGGGATCAAGCCCCACATCCGGCTCCCTGCTCAGCAGGAAGTCTGCTTGTCCCTCTTCCTCTGCTCCTCCCCCAACTCGTGCTCTCTCTCTCTCTCTCTAAAATAAGTAAATAAATAAAATCTTTAGATTCCACACATGAGTGAAATCATTCAGTATTTGTCTTTCTCTGACTGACTTATTTCACTTAGTGTTATACCCTCTAGGTCCATCTATGTTGTCACAAATGGCAAGGTTTCATTATTTTTCATGGCTGAGCAATATTCCGTTGTGTATATACACCACACCTTTATGCATTCATCAGTCGATGGACCCTTAGGTTGCTTCCATACGTTGGCTATTATAAATAATGCTGCAATATACACAGGGGTGCACATACCTTTTCAAATTAGAGTTTTTGTTTTCTTCAGGTAAATACCCAGAAATGGAATTAATGGATCGTTTGGTACTTCTGTTTTCAGTTTTCTGAGGACCCTGCATACTGTTTTCCACAGTGGGCTGCACCAACGTACATTCCCACCAACAGTGCCCAGGGTTCCCTTTTCTCCTCATCCTTACCGGCACTTATTTCTTGTCTTTTTGATACTAGGCATTCTGACAGGTGTGAGGTGATATCTCATTGTGTTTTTGATTTGCATTTCCCTGATGATGAGTGATATTGAGCATCTTTTTTTCATGTGTCTTTTGGCCATCTGTGTGTCTTCTTTAGAAAATTGTCTCTTCAGGTCCTCTGCCCACTTTTTAATCTGATTATTTGGGTTTTGGTGTTGAGTTGTATGAGTTTTTTATATATTTTTGATATTAGCCCTTTATTGGATATATCATTTGCAAATATCGCCTCCCTTTTATTGGGTTGCCTTTTCATTTTGTTGATGGTTTCCTTCTCTGTGCAAAAGCCTTGTGGTTTGTTGTAGTCCCACTTGTTTATTTTTGCTTTTGTTTCCCCTGCTTGGGGAGACGTATCCAGAAAAATATTGCTAAAGTTGATGTCCAAGAAATTACTGCCTGTTTTGTTTTTGGTTTTTTTTTTTTAGGAATTTTATGGTTTCAGGTCTTACATTTGGGCCTTTAGCCCATTTTGATTTTGTTTTTATGTATGGTGTAAGAAAGTGGTCCAGTTTCGGGGGATCTGGGTGGCTCAGTCATTAAGCATCTGCCTTCAGCTCAGGTCATGATCCCAGGGTTCTGGGATCGGGCCCCACATCGGGCTCCCTGCTCCACGGGAAGCCTGCTTCTCCCTCTCCCACTTCCCTGCTTGTGTTCCCTCTCTCACTGTGTCTCTCTCTGTCAAATAAATAAATAAAATCTTTAAAAAAAAGAAAGAAAGAAAGAAAGTGGTCCAGTTTCATCCTTTTGCATGTAGCTGCCCAGTTTTCCCAACACCATTTATTGAAGAGACTATATTTTTTTCTGCATTGTATATTTTGCCTCCTTTGTCACAGATTGACCATATAAGCATGGATTTATTTCTGGACTGTATTCTGTTCCATTGATCTATGTGTCTGTTTTTGTGCTTTGAACACTATAACTTGCAATTTCAAATCTGGAATTTTGATATCTCTATCTTTGTTATTCTTTCTCAAGCTTGGTTTGGCTATTTAGGATCTTTTGTGGTTCCATGCAAATTTTAGAATTATTTGTTCTAGTGCTGTGAAAAGTGCTATTGGTATTTTGATAGGGACTGCACTGAATCTGTAGATTGCTTTGGGTAGTAAGGACATTTTAACAATATTAATTCTTCCAATCCAAAGCATGGTATATCTTTCCATTTAATTGTGTCATCTGTGATTTCTTTCAACAATGTCTTTTAGTTTTCAGGTCTTTCACCTCTTTGGTTAAATTTATTCCTAGATGTTTTATTCTTTTTTTTTTTTTAAGATTTTATTTATTTATTTGTTTGAGAGACAGAGAGAGCATGAGCATCAGTACTGGCTGATGGACTGATTGTGGTGGGTGAGAAAAGGGAAGAGTCCAGCATGACCCCCAGGTTAAAGCAGCTGGAGGATGCTGGTACCACATCCTGACACGGGGAGACGAGAGGGGGCAGGTTGGCAGGCAATCTCGATCCATGTTGGGCGTGTTAGGTTTGTGGTTCTGTTAGACACCCAAGTACAGATGGCAAGGCCAGGAGAAAAGACCTAGGAGCCACCTGCGTATAGATGCTATTTCAAACCATGGGACTGAATAATGCGTTTGTGTTCGAGGTCACAGGAGTCTCATAGACTCCAGTCATGAGGAATGGAGCTGGGCTGGGGTGGTGGGTTGTTGAACCGGAATTAGGAGGTGAACATCTGGGGGACATAAGAAAGTATGGATGGGCTCACCTGTGTCTCCACACTCAGCTCTGCTACACGCATCTCTGGAGCAGATGTCCAGTGGGTCCGGGGCTGGGGTTCGTGCTCAGAATCCCCGGGTCCAGCCTAACCACCTGAGACTGGAAGGAAGGCATTGGAGAAGGGCTTTGTAGAGCTTAGCACCCCCTGGGGTTCACAGCTCAGCGCTTCTCAGTCTCTTACCACAAAACCCACTTCCTATGATGCTTTGTCCTTGGGTTATCTCCACCACCATGTACTTCCTCTGAGCACAGTTAAGCGAGTTCTCAGGGGAAACATCAGCCATGCTGAGAAGGTGAGGCTCCTGGTTGGCATTCCTCCCTCCTGTTTCCTGTTAGAGCCAGCACTTGGGGCTGTAGTTGGATTATGGGTCCAGGAGCTTCTTGAGGGCAAGACCCAGACCCGGCCCGTCTCTGCCCTGGATAATGTCTGGGCAGTGTGTTAGCACGTGCTTGCAGAGTGCTGGACTGCAGCTGCCACATGAGGCCAATTTTGACTCCTAAACATCAGGGACAATACCCAGATTTCAGAACATTTTAATCTTCATAGAAAAGATTAAGTAAGAAAGTCAGCATGTAAGCACCCAGTTCAATGGTGGGCACGTGGCAGGTGCTCAAGTATTTGGGCATAGTGTGTGGAGTGGGGGGAGGGAGGGAGAGAAATCAATCACACAGAAAATTAATTGATTTCAGGCCCCACAGTTGTATAACACTGCGTTTGAAGCAAGGCCTAAGCACTGGGCTGATCCCACAGCCCCAGACAGAAAGCTGAAACTCTAGGCCACTCTATTCTACACAGTCGGGAACAGAACCATGGCACAGATAAACCATATAGTAGTGAATAAACCATAAGTAAGATTCAGAATGTGTTTCAAGATGGATTGTTTCAGAAGAGAGCTATTTTTTTTTAAAGATTTTATTTATTTGACAGAGAGAGAGAGAGAGAGCAGGAACACAAGCAGGGAGAGTGGGAGAGGGAGAAGCAGGCTTCCCGCAGAGCAGGGAGCCCGATGTGGGGCTCGATCCCAGGGCCCTGGGATCAGGACCTGAGCTGAAGGCAGACGCTTAATGACTGAGCCACCCAGGCGCCCCAGAAGAGAGCTATTTTTAAAGCCCTGAAGATTTCAGAATGAAGAGCAGGGTCATGAAGTAAGCCCCCTGCTCTGAAGGAGCTGGAGATCCCCCAACCCTCAGATTCAGGATGGTTGTGCCCACTGCAGACTCCCCCAGCCCTGCACGACCTCTGGGGGTGGGTCACTGATCACCTACCTGCAATCGCCACTTCCCTGGGTAGCAGGGCTCACCCCCTGCACCCGGCACAGGGCCGACACTTGGTACATTTTTTTTTTTAATTTAATTCAAACGCTGCTCAGTATCTTTTCATCTTCTTAAAGATTTCTCCATGCAGAGGAGTTAATAAAGAGGATTAGAGTATGATTTCTTGCTGCTGACCCAGCAAGCCAGAAATCAGCATTTATGTGTGCTCTACCTGTCCGCTCACTCAGAAGAGCCTGGGAGACAGGGAGCCATAGATACTGAGAAAGGACTACCACAACCCCTGGGTGTGGAAAAGAGAGGAGGCTGGAATCGCAGTTCCGAAAGATGGTGGCTGAGAAGATGCAGAGACCCAGGGGCAGCTGAGAGCCTTTGGCAGATGTTTATACTTGATTTGAGACCAAAGAAACACAACTTTGAGGTCCTGGCTCAGAGAGCAGAGGAGGTTCCTAGGTAAACAGGCCCAGGATTGGCCCACAAAGCCAGGCTCCTGGCACGGGGGGCTTGGGGTGGCACGGGGTGCTGGCCACACCCAGGGCTTCCTGCTTCCACCTTCTCCCGACCTTTGGTGCCCATGGAATTGCCTCGTTCAGCAGGTGCTCGGGCCGGCGGGAGGCCCGAGAGCACCCAGCCTGGCGCTCACGGTGGGGGTGAGGTGTGCCACCCAGTGGTGAGCCGGCACCAAGGACACTGTCCCTTCCAGACTACTTAAAGGAGCAACTGGAGCAGTACGTGAAGAAGCTGCAGGTCGTGAGGGTGGTGCGGCAGGAGGAGCGGAAGGGCTTGATCACCGCCCGGCTGCTGGGGGCCAGCGTGGCCCAGGCGGAGGTGCTCACCTTCCTGGATGCCCACTGTGAGTACAAGGGGACCAGCGTGGCCCCCAGGAGGCCCGAGGGTGATCCGAGCCCCTGCCCCGCTCTCCGGCGGAACAAAGAGCCAGGGCATCACCAAGGCCCCTGCTGCTCTGGGATTAAAGGTGGCTTGGGACCCACTTTAGCTAGCTTCTCGAGCCCTCTTCTCATCTCAATCCCAAGGATGTGCTCTGGAGCCCCAGATACCCCTCTGTCTTCCTTGCTTCCTCTGTACCTCATTCTGAGCTCAGCCCCTCAAAGAGGCCTCCTGTCACCACTGGGAACTAGTTTGTATGGAGCTTTCCCATAGGGCCACATGGAGCCAAAAAGGCCTTCTCTTTGCCCCAAACCCAAACACCTCCCCACCAGTGTCTGGAAAGAAATTGTTCCCTGAAAGCGGTGGTATGTATTAGGGAAAGCTCTAGACTCGGAGTCAGGAGACCTGGGTTTGCCTTCTGGCTCTGCCAGTAACTGAGCCTCAGTTTCCCCATTTGTAAAGTGGGAATGAGGATACCAACCTTACTTACCAACAGAATTACTACTCCAAGGGCCAAATAAAGTAATCTATACAGTTCACTGAAAATCTCAAAGGGCTAGTCTAGCGAAAGGGATTATTATTCCACAACTGGAGCTAAAGCTTGAGGTGCAGTCTCCCTGGAAAAGGGGACACCCGCTTCTGAAGTCCACACTTGGGTGGGGAGGGCTGATTCAGTGGATAGGCTGGAAACCCTGAAAGGTCACCCATCCGGGTTCTTCCCTGTGCTTTGGATCATTTGAGTTGACCATTGGAGTTACTCCCCTGAGACTTCCATTCTTCCCTTCAAAGTTACCTCCACCTTTTGGTTGGGTGAGCGGGGTGGGTAGGAGGGCCTCAGGAGACCTCTCCGTGCGTTCTACAACCGTGGCGCTGGGCTGTATTCCTCTAACACTAGGGGGTGTGGGGAAGGTTGTCTTGTGCTCCTGAGTCTCCCTGTCGGTGTGGGGCCCGGGCTCAGCTGTGACACGACCCTGACTGCTGTCTCCTGGTCCCGGTCTGTAGGTGAGTGCTTCCATGGCTGGCTGGAGCCCCTCCTGGCTCGCATTGCCGAGGAAGAGACGGCGGTGGTGAGCCCAGACATCGTCACCATCGACCTGAACACTTTTGAGTTCTCCAAGCCCGTCCAGAGGGGCAGAGTCCACAGCCGTGGCAACTTTGACTGGAGCCTGACCTTTGGCTGGGAGACTCTCCCCGCCCACGAGAAGCAGAGGCGCAAGGATGAGACCTACCCCATCAAGTAAGGACCATAGCCTGCTGAGCCCCATGCTGGCTTCCAGGGACCCAGGCCATCTTAGGTCCGCAGTTATCAGGCACGCCATGAAACACATGATACAGTTGTGTTACTCTTCATCCCCTCCGAGGCGGATGCTAGGATTGGCCTGTGTTACAGGGGAGAACACAGGCTCCTAGGGATGAGCAGTCGGCCTCAGATGATGTGGCTAGCACCTGGTGGAATAAGGATCCAAAGCTCACGCCCCTAACCGCAGCCCTGCACGCCTCCCACTGTGACCGACTGCTCTTCTTCACCACTTACTGTGTGCCAGGCACTGACTGACGGCTTTATGTAGTTTGTCTTTTTATTCCTCCCCACACGTGGAAGACCATGACAGGTGTGTGCAGAGGTGCCAAGAGATGGAGGGTAGAGTCCTCTGTTAAATTGCCCTTGTAATAGGAGGCCTTGCACTGCCAGGTCAGTGTCTTTGAAAGGACTGAAAATATATTTGAAGGAAACTAGACATGTGTTCTGCTGTTTGCAGTTTGTTACAGGTGCCCTGAACTTCTCCGGTGGAGGGCCAGACGGCAGGTCGTTTGGGTTCTGCCGGCTACATATAGTCTGTTGTATATTCTTCCTTGTTAGTTTGTTTTGGTTTAACCATCGTTTGAAAGTGTAAAAATCATTCTTTGCCCAGCACCTTATGAAGTCAGGCCAGCTTTGGGCCGTAGGCCTTAGTGGGCCCACCCCTGAGCTACAGGGTAGATACTGGAAAGTTTACCCACTGTTTAATGCCCAGCTGGGTCAGCCCCTCGTTCACCCACCCTGTCCTTCCCTCTCCAGATTGCCCATTGGCGCCGTCAGAAACCACAAGTTTATTTTATTTTATTTATTTTTTAAGTAGGCTCCGCACCCAACACGGGGTTTGAATTCATGACCCAGAGACCAAGGGTCACGTGCTCTGCTGACTGAGCCAGCCAGGCACCCCCACAAGTTTATTTTAACAGATGTCTCAGCCAACCTGAGTTGGGGAGTGACTTTTAGAGAATCATCTGGTTTTGGATGGTCTGTGCCATTGTTTTTCCATACTGGCCAGGAAACTTAACTGAATATGCATCAGGGATGGAGGCAGCAGATGTTGGGGATCCAGTGAGCAGACAGGTAGGAGGGAACCCTAAGAAATGCCACCCAGAGCCTCAGTAGAGTGGACCCTGTGGGTGCCACAGGGAGGAATCCCATGGATCCTGAACAGCCAGCTTGCTCTGTCTCCATTAAAAGGAGGAAAAGGAGCAACTGAAGAGGGAAAAAAGAAAAGAGAAGACAGGAGAGAGAAAAGAGACTGGAAGTCCCTGTTGACCCTCTGCTTGTTTCATAGATGTCTTTTGTTTGGTGTGCACAGCAACAAAGCCCCCCTCCCCCAAACTGGGGGCCAGGCACACAGTGGCACAGTCAGGGACAGGGCACCTGGCCCCTGCCCATCACTGCTGTCCCCTGCTCCAATGTGTGAGGACCATGCAACTAGAAGACAAAGCTCCAGTGTTTGAGGAATGGATTTGCTCCCTGGTATAAGCGCCCTGGCCATATGCATGGCTTCTCCCAGGCATTTTGCATGGTACCCCACCAGGAGGCCTGGGGGGAGTACCCTCCCATCCTCCGCTCTCAAAGCTAGCAGGTGCCTAAGAGGAGAGGTAAAGGACCCAGGAAGTACGGGGTGTTGCCTGAGGTGCATTGGGTGTGGGTCTGCAGTGAAGTCCCCAGGTAGGGTTTATCCTCAGAAGTAATTTGTCAGCGCCTTCTTGGTCAGAGAGACCTCTCAAGGCCAAGAAATAGGCCCAGATCAGGGACACCCTCAAGAAGAAGCAGATTAGCTCCAAAGTGCTCATCTGGAGTCCCAGGGCTCTCTGAGCCTTTCCAGGACTTATTTGGGGTGGGGGGGGGTCCTTAGAATGCCTGGGAGAGGCCAGAACCAGGGACAGAGAGCCTGCCTGAGCATGAGAGTCTTCTGAGTGAAATTCCTTCCAGAAAGTGGCTCTGGGAGCCAACTACTTGAGATCGACAAACGCAGCCACAGGGTAATGCCAAGGTCAGGCTCCTTGACCAATCAGTCCGGTGAACACTGACTGAGCCCTTGCCGTGTGTAAAGCACCTTGACAAGTTCTGGATTTACAGAGGTTTCAGTCTCTGCTTGAGTGTAGCACCCAGAGCCACCCACTGAGGGCAGCAAAGCCCTATCCAAGCCGGGCTGGCCAGGGCGCAGACGCCAACAGCTAATGATTCTGTCTAGGCTCTTGCCACTGTCTTCCTCAGGCTCCGACCCCGCCCTCAACCCTTAGCCCAGGCTCTCTTATGAGCAACGTGGTATGTGAATTCTAGGAATGAGACTTTTTTTTTGCCAATTTCGCTTACAGTGGATCTGCGCCTCCCTGCCTTTGTCTGAAAGCCAGAAGCTCCTTGGAACATCCCAATGCTCCCATTAGTCCAAATTGAACTGAATTTCACCTCACTTCCTCCTCTGTTTCCAGGAGCGCCCCTTCCTCAGTTTCCCCTGCTCAAAGCAGCCGGCGGCTTTCCCCAAAACTAAAATTTCTCCTGCAGCAGGACTAGGCCCTCCTAACACCATGGCTCTCTAGTCCCTGACGAGGACCAGGGATTCTGAAATAGAATGGGGTCCACCCAGGTCATAATATTCATTCGTTCATGGTTTGAATCCCCTTTCTGAAGGCGGATTCACACAGTTTCTGATAACTGAGTATCTACAATGCTCTAGGAACTTTGCTGCCAAAAACCAAACGATGGCGCCTCTCCTGTCAGCTGCTAGACTGAGCTCTCGGCCAACGAGAGCTTTCTCGGCTGCGTGACTAATGTGCAGCATGGGTCCTGGTGGCCCGTGTTTGACATTTCCTGCCTGGAACGAACAAACGAGTGCCTTTTCGAAGAGAGTGATGATAATGACATCTCTCCTTGACCTGGTCCTGGAAGGTGGGAAGAACACAATAAAGCTCCGTACATGTTTGCTGAGTGCATAAGTTAGCAGAAGAGGGAAAGAAGAAAGGAGGCAGGGGGCAGGGGGTAATGGAGGTGGTGGGCGGTAGCCTAGCACCAAGTCCACAGCTTTCCACACCAGGCTTCTGCTCATCTTCCCCCCTCCAGAGATGCACATCCTTCTCCCTCTGTCTTTTCAGATCCCCGACGTTTGCCGGCGGCCTCTTCTCCATCTCCAAGTCCTACTTTGAGCACATCGGTACCTATGATAATCAGATGGAGATCTGGGGAGGGGAGAACGTGGAAATGTCCTTCCGGGTGAGAGTGAAGAGGGCTTCATGGGGGGAGCCGCCGCGGCCCAGGGGACAGACTGAGCCCCTGTCTCTCAGGCCGTGGCAGCCTCGGGGATATTACAGCTGGAACTGGACTTAAAGGGTGTTGGTTTCCCGTCCTGGAGGCACCTCTCCTCTGCTCCCCCCACCCCTGTCCGTGGCAGGAGTGCTTTGAGAATCAGATTGGACAACTCGGAACAAATTCCGGGGCAGAACTCCTCAGAGGGACGGGATTATAGTGGTAAAGGAACCAGACATCTGGGGCCTGGTGACATGTTTCGTGAGGTCTGTGGGAAGAGTGTTAGGGTGAAGGCAGAGCAGGTCAGTTGGCAGTCACTGTCCCTTCTCAGGAAAAGTCGGGTTTCCCCTTGCAGGTTAGAGGACACAGGCCCTGGTGGCCTTTGAAGTTTTCCTACCCTCTGCTCAGCAAGCCCTGCATCACTGAAGATGGTGGCCCAAACTCTGGTGGACCCCACAACTCTGAGGGATTCCGGGAATAAGGCAAATCAGGATTAGGTTAGGAAGAAAGAATTTCCTTTCCATGAAGTCCGCACAAATCCCCACGCTAAGGGGAGAGGTCATTAGCAAGTGGATGAGCTCGTGTATGAAGTCACCTCTCACAGTGCCTAGCACATATTAAGCATGTCCACTGATGCCTCTGTTACTATGACTATGATTGCGTATTTCTGTTGCTACTCTACTAAAATGAAGAACAACATCTACTAATATAAAACCTGAAAAAGAAAGGACCCAGGTGGGAGGGATGTCTTAAACCGGCCCACTAGCACAGAGAAGGGTCACCAGGTCAGTCCCCATAACTCCCAGGGTTCTGATTCTGGGCTCATCTATGAGCCTCTGACCTCCGTTCAGTCTCTCTCCTTGGAGGCTAATGTGCTAAAGGTTCAGGTGACTACCCCAGCCCACCTGGAAATTGACTATTGGATCACAAGTGTATCTTGATTTGAGGGAGCTTGAGTTCCCAGTAACACCTGGGTGAGTTGATAAAATCACATTTCCAGGTCAACAAGCCAAGTGACTGAAGCTCGGTGTAGGTATACAGACACAAAGTTAGCCAACTGTCTTTTCTCTAAAGTGGGCCCTGACAACCCTCAGGACCCTGCACATCTCCATTTGCATAAATCAGGGTTGAACTAACATCATAGAGCTAGGGATTGCATAGTCGTGGCCTAGGAAGAATCCTGGTCCATGTCCTTTTTTCTAGGAGAGAGAGCAGCATTTCCCTGAGTTCTTAGACCTGGGACCCTAGCGCCCTGGCACTAGAACAGAGCTGCTGGGGGCGGGGGGGGGGGGGGGGGGGGGGGGGGGGGGGGGGGGATGACAGTGACCGACGACCTCCCTGAAGGCCTTATCTTGTGTCCTCTTATGGCAGGTGTGGCAGTGTGGGGGCCAGCTGGAGATCATCCCCTGCTCTGTGGTAGGCCACGTGTTCCGTACCAAGAGCCCTCACACCTTCCCCAAGGGTATCAGTGTCATTGCTCGCAACCAAGTGCGCCTGGCTGAGGTCTGGATGGATGGCTACAAGGAGATTTTCTATCGGAGAAATATGCAGGCAGCGAAGATGGCCCAAGAGGTGAGAGGAAATGGCACTCGGGAGGGGTTTGGGTGAAGAGAAGGGCAGCATCCCATACCCTAAGTCAAGGGCTTAATGGTAGAGGCCCACCCATCTCTGCCCCCGGTGCCTCCCTTTACCCCCCAGACCCTGTGAGCTGGAGCCCAGGGAGGTCAGAGTTTGAAGGCTAGCGATGAGGAGAGAAGCTTTTGTTGTCCCCGCCTGGGGAGTCCTGGCATGTTTTAGGAGGGGAGGGAGAATGGACTTGAAGAACCTCTTACAGGGCTTTGCTCTGAGAGGCTCAGAATTGAGGTCTGGGAGAAAACTGACAGGGAAATCACAGGGGTTGCAGGAGGGAGGAGGCTGTGGGTGGGGGTCCCAAAGCCAAAGCAGGGGTAGGAGGGCGGTTAAATGTGGGGCTAAGCCAGTAGCCCCAACAGGTTCTGAGCAGAAGACCCATTCTTGGAGAAAGTGGCCCCAGCAACTCTGGGCTACTTCAACCGTACAAACAGGTTAAGACCAGTGGGACTGACCTTTTGGGGGCTGGCTTGGTTGACAGAAATCCTTCGGGGACATTTCGGAGCGACTGAAGCTGAGGGAACAACTACACTGTCACAACTTTTCCTGGTTCCTGAACAACATCTACCCAGAGATGTTTGTTCCCGACCTGAAGCCCACCTTCTATGGAGCTGTAAGTCTCACAAGCCAGCTTGCCCCCCCATCATCACAAGAACCCCCCAGAGGAGTTCAGAACCGCTTACCCTACCCAGGGATGGCAAACAAGAGTCGATTTTTACTCTCTCCACTCCTTTATCCAAAGGAGGACTGAAAGGCCACTGTGGGGCTTCTAGAGATAACCAAAACCTTGTAAGGGGGAAACAACCCATAAGCAGTGGTTCTCATTCACCTGCATCAGAATCACCTGGAAGGCATGTTAAAACATAGATTGCTGATTCGGTCGGAATGGAACGGGGCCTGAGAATTTGCTTTTCTAACAAGTCCTCAGGTGAGGCCAGCGGTCTGGGGATCACACGTGGAGAATCACTGATCATGAGGAAATTCCTGTGTGCTGAGGGCTTTTCCCAGAGACCTGGCAGCCTGGGAGGTTCCCCAGCCTGCCTGTGCCCAGCCTCTGGGCTCAGCACCTCACTCTGCTGCTATGTCCAGGCGTCTGGGTTAACGAGCAGAGGAGAAATCCAGCCATGCAGATTCATCCCAACCAAGCCCCACCCCCCGAACCACACCATATTCCTAACCGTGTCATCCGGCTTCCCCTCTCTGCTCACCATTCTGCAGATCCGGAACCTCGGCATCAGTCAGTGTCTGGATGTGGGTGAGAACAACCACGGGGGGAAGCCCCTCATCATGTACACCTGCCACGGCCTGGGTGGCAACCAGGTACCCAGCCCCACCATATTGGTCAGGCCCCAGAGAAGCCTGCTTCTGGGACAACTCCTCTCTTCACAGCCTCTTTCTCCACTCACTATAGTCCTTTCCCAGGGCGCCTGGGCGGCTCAGTTGCTTAAGCATCCAACTCTTGGTTTCAGCTCAGGTCGTGATCTCAGGGCCATGGAATTGAGCCCCGCATCGGGCTCTGCCGGGAATCTGCTTGGGATTCTCTCTCTCCCTCTGCCCCTCCCCCTGCTCGCACTCTCTCTCTCTCTCTCTAAATAAATTTTTAAAATCTTAAAAAAAAAAGTCCTTTCCTGAGGACTAGGGTCAGGAGATCCAGGGAGAGGAAGAGATAGCGCCCCTGCCCTCAGAAAGCTCCCAGTCTGAGGGAGAATACATGGCACAGACAGACAAGGTCTGGTGTGAAGTAGGCACATCTGGGGAGCACTGGGCATCAGTGGCAGGGGCTAGGGAGGGGGCAGGAGGAGGTTACCGTTAATCAGGAAGGCTTCCTGGAGGGGGCCAGCTGCCGAATGAGGTTTTAGAGTAACTTTGGAAACTTTTTGAGCACTTGCTCTCACCCACACCCAGCTTCACCGCCTCCCCTGCCCAGAAGCCACTGTGCTGACTCTGTCACCAGGAGTGACCCCAAAACAACCATCTACTGACATGTCACAGTTACAGTTATGCTGGGAATGTGCCCCATGCTTTACGGTGCCTCAGCTGTTCCCTGAGGACTAACTAGTGACCTCCCTGACCCCAGTCCCTAAGCCTGCCCTGAATGCCCAGCATTTGGTAAGGAAGAGGCACTTGACACAGAGCTGAAGCAAGGAAGGGAGTGGCGTGGGACACTGAACAGGCTGCCAACCTGTGCAATCGAGACAAAGTCATTATCAAGCCATGTCCTATGCCAGTGGCCCACACGATGATTTTAGGCGGTACATTGGTGAACATTTTTTGTTTTAAACAAACTAGCATATCAAGCTCATGATTTCATAGATAATGCATAGAATGAAGCTAAGTTAAATTTTGAATGATTTTCAAGAAAAATATACTGGGGCACCTGGGTGGCTCAGTCAGTTAAGCATCTGCCTTTGGCTCAGGTCATGATCCCGGGGTCCTGGGATCGAGCCCTGTGACGGGACGGGGGGGCGGCCACTGCTCAGTGGGGAGCCTGCCTCTGCCGCTCCCCCTGCTTGTGCTCTCTCTCTGTCAAATAAGTAAAATCTTTAAAAAAAAAAATAAAAAAATACATATTAAGTAACTATTATTCCAGTAAAACCTAGATACAGTAAGAATCCTGAAGATAGTACATGACTTACTGAGGTCTTGGCGCCCCCTCCCTTGCTCCCCCAGAAGGTCAACTCTGATTGGAATCTTAGGGCAGTTGGTTCTGGAAGGTAGTAGGCAAACTCTCCACCTCCTCTTGCCTTGACTTCTAGTACTTTGAGTACACAACCCAGCGGGACCTTCGCCACAACATCGCAAAGCAGCTGTGTCTACATGCCAGTGCTGGCACTCTGGGCCTGAGGAACTGTCACTTCACTGGCAAAAACAGTCAAGTCCCCAAGGATGAGGAATGGGAATTGACCCAGGTGAGTCAGCTGCCCAGAGAGCTCAGAATCAAGAACCTGCAGCCACAGCCTCCCCCCTCCTCCTCCTTTTCTGCATCTTTGGCCATGTGGCAGATGAAGACAATGTAGAAAGTATGGAGAAAGTGGGCTTGGTCCCAGGCAGGGTTCTCGGGGCATAAGTAATGTCTGGTGAGGTCTGGCTCTGGCTGACACAAAGTTGAGGTAGGGAGTTATGGTCCACAGCCATCGCTGTCGTGGCTCAAGTATTTTCAGGCTGAACCCAAGTAGATGAAGGTGAAGATTCACCCATGGTTCCTGCCTGCCCTGTGGGTGCCAGGTGCAAATCTCGTACTCATATACATTGAGTGTGGTTAATCTTTCAGAGGCTTTTCCCAAGGAGGGAGTGCCCCCATGGGTAGAGGTGAGCCAGCGAAAGTTCAGCAAGTTTGTGACTGGCCCAAGCCCCATCACTAGTCAATGGCAGACCTGGAATTCAGACCTAGATCATTCTGACTTAAAAGCCTGGGTTCTTTCTAGTATACCACACTGCCTCAGGATATAGAATGTAACTTCTATAATACTGGGCCCAAACTAGCACTACCCATGGGCCTCCACACCCCACCCTACCCCAATCTTCAAGGAAGATCTGGGCCATAAGGAAGGGAAGAATGTAAATATCAAAGGCAGAAAGTGGGAGTGTGCAGCAGGGGCCTCTGAGTCTGGCCATCCAGAGGAGGGGTCCCTGAAAGCATTAGCCCCATGGCCCTGCCTTCCTCTGTTCTAGCTGCTCAGGCTAAAGCCAGAAGTGGGAAATTGACAGTGGACCCACAGGTGGAAACTCAGGAATGCATCCTATCAGGGTATTTGGCATCCAAAGAAAGAAATTTACAAGTGTCCTCTTTGTGCCTTGTTGTATTGTCTTTGCTTTTTACTTATTGTTCCCCCATCTCGTTGCCCCCTCGTAGCACCGTTAGAGATCTGAAGCCCAGGTTGACCTTTTACTGTGTCATCTTTTAGGACCGGCTAATCAGGAACTTGGGATCTGGTACCTGCCTGACATCTGAGGATGAAAAGCCAGCCATGGCCTCCTGCAATCCCAGTGATCCCCACCAGCATTGGCTCTTCAGCTAAGCCTCGATCACCCCCATGGGAGTTCCCAAGGGGAACCAAGCCTCTCAGGAAATAGGATTTTGGGGAAACTGATATTTGAGAACCTGATTATCAGCTTCTCTATAGGCCTTAAAGATGGATTTCAAAACCCAGTGGATATCAAAGCAGGATCTTACTACTTTTGCAACACAGGGCCCATTTTCCTTCCTCCATGCTGATGAAAGAGACCGTCGGAACATATGATACCTGGCCTAGAGCTTGCCTCCTGTCCTTGAAACAGACTTCCAAGCAGAGAAGGCAGCCTGGGTAGGGCCCAAGGCAGCAATGCTGAATTCAAGAAAAGTCCTTGTGCAGCCACATCCTGAGTCCCGGGTCGTGTGGAGCACCCACAGAACTAGTGAGGTAGTACCTTCGAACAGAGAGACTAGAGGTCTACAAGAGTCTCCTTGATAATATTGCCCGAAGTTTCTAGAGCCAATTAGTTTATAGAAAGCACCCTGACAGAAATCCTTTATCTTCTTTCGTCTGCACGGTAACCCTGTGAGAAAGGCCAGGAACCACCAGGCCCATTTTACAGATAAGAAAGCAGAGGCAGAGAGAGAGAAAGGGGCTTATCTGTAGTCCCACAGCTAGTGGATGGCGGGAGCCAAGACAGACTTGATTTCGAAGGCTGAGCCAGAGCTCCTTCCACCACACCACAAGAACACTAGACACCTCGCCATCAGCCTTCACATTCTCTCTTCCCTCTGTGCTGATCACTTCTGGCTGGCTGGCTGGCCTCCGTAGAGCCTAGAACAGCAGTGCCAGGTAGCCATGAGGGAGACCACAGTTGGGGATCCTGGGATGTTAGTGCTGAAAGCAAGTTCATGCAGCCGGTGAGTCTCAGGTCTCAGTCCCAGAAGCCTTTTTCCAATGCCCCATATATAACATAGATGAAAAGCCAACTGGCAGTGGGCGAAGTTGAGGGCAGGTGAGGACAATGCCCAACAGCCCCTGAACTTCTAAAGGCCTGTGAGCACCATTTGAAACTGTTCTTTCAGCCCAACCCTATCGTTTTCGTATAACCTGAGGCCAGATAACTAATTTGTCCAACACCACACGGCAAGGTATTGGCAACTGGAGACCAGAACCCGGATGAGACTATCAAGAGCCCTGGGCAGTCTGGGGAAGCGGGGACCGTGTGGAGAATGGAGCATGACTGCACAAATGGCCTCATCTGCTGTACCCGCATGGAGTCCCCGCGTGGAGCAGACCCGACACGCATGTCAGCTCTTCTCCAAGCAAGTTGGACCTCACCACGCCTGGCCACTTTGCCTGAAAGAGAGAGCCCAGCTTCCTAGAGGAGGAGTCACATTCCTTCCAGAAGGGCTTCTGACTTTTGGTAGCAGGCTGTCATCTCGGGCATCACCACATGAGGGCGCCCTGGGACCACAGCCGCGTCTCCCTGCACAACTCCACACTGCAGGAGGTCTCCTAAACTCCTTGAGCTTTCACGACCCTGTAGGGGAAACATTCCGAGGTAGCCCAGCCAGAGGGAGAGGAGAGAGTGGCCAGGATATGGCTAGGGGTGGGGAAAGGAAAAATTCAATTGGACTTGAGATCCCAATGAAAATAAAGGTCTTATGGCATTGGTAAAGGAGACTTGCCTTTGGTTCCTCCCACCTCAATATTGTCCCTTAGCTGATCCTTGGGCAAATCCATTGATTTGGGCTGTGGAGAGCCACACACATCTGAAAAGTTCTGTCACATCATTGTCTCTTGTCCCCAGACATCCTCTGGCCCCCGATCTAGCCCACATACTGTATGTCAAGCCCATGTAGACATGAGGAGATGTAAGATGAGACTCTTGCCCCCATGGAACTCACTCTCGCTGGGGAAGCAGATGGAAGCAAGTCAGGACAAGCCTGGAGGTGTTCAGAGCTGTGCTAGGTGACGTGCAAAGAACGATTCCTTCCATCTAGGGAAATCGGGGAAGGCCTCACAAAGATGGTAACATTTGATCTTTGGCCTCAAGGATGAGTCCTGAGGGGGAATCTCACACTAGCACCGATCTAGAGCGAGAAAAGTCAGAACAAAGCTACAAGTGGCTCTGAGAAGCCAAGGGGACATCGGGGCGAAGGAGCAGTGGATGCAGAAGCTGGAGGGCTGGGGCCGCATTATGACTTTCATGGGACCTAGGTCCTTTTGTTTTCACGAAAAATTTCTTAAATTATGTTTTACAACTGCATTGGTATAAAGATGAATATTGGCTGATGGTGTTCATTATATTTCTTCTGATTTTTAAAGAAACTAAAACTGTGGGGCCCCAGGCACTGTGCCGGCTGTGCCCACTGGGTAGGTCAACCCTGTAGAACATCGGGTTGGGGCCCAACTGAGAAGGCTTTGAAGGCCATGCTAATGTGGGTAAGCCAGAGGGAGCCATAGTTCCTAACTCTAGTCCTAGCCCTATTCTTGGTTGCACTAAACATCCAAATGTTCATCAGGTGTTGATTATTTGCCACTTATCCCGACATCCCTCCTACTCTCTATGGCATCACTCAACAGCTCTCCAGCCCAATCTTAGGATATATGCCCAACCAAGGTGCCCTGTTGTGGTGCCAAGTTTCCCCACCCTACACAAAAACAGCATAACGTCTCCTGGGGGCAGTCAGCTAAGAGTGACTCACAGGGAGAGGTGCAGCAGAAGAGAGAAAACCCCATACCACACCTAGAGAGTAGGTCCAGATTTGGGGGTGAAGAGAGGACTAGGGAAGGTAGGTGGTCAAGAAGAGGGAGAAGGCACTGATGGGGTGGTATAAGGCTTCATGGCCTCCCCTTAGCTGAGGCTGGTCTCACCCTAACCCAATATCTACACTATTGCTTAAAATTCACCCCTCTGACCATTCTCAGAATCAACCTAAAACCTTAAAACCTTGCCTACATCTTGCTTAAAACCTTGACACTACCCCTTTGCTACTATCTCCTGGCTCCAGAAGCCTCTCACCTTGGCAGTGAATGGCTGGTCCCTCCTAGGGATCTACTTCCCACCCGAAGAGGATTGGCGCCATTGCCCAAAATAGCTAATATCCCAGAAGATATTCTTATTTTTAATTACAAAAGTAATGCTGTAGAGAAGCCAAATAATACAGAACAATATGAATTTGAAAAGTGAAATCGATCCTCACAATGCCTCCATGCCTATTGATTCATTCTCTAGAAGTAATAACTTCTGTGTAGAAATGCTTCCATCCCCTTTTTCTATGAATATACAAATAGACACATACCCAGGACCATATTATCTGCGATTTGATGTCTTCATTTAATATCTCAAGGACATCCTTTCCTATCAGTTCATTTAAGTCTAACTCATTCTTTTTAAAAGCTGGAGAGTAGTCCATAATATGGTTAAACCCAATTTCTTTAGCCTTTCCCTGCTGATGAATACTTGGGTTTTTCCCAAGTTTTGCGGCAACTTGGTGACAAACTGCATAACCCACATCCTCGTACATTTATTTTTGTGCCTGTGTTTATTTCAAAAGGATGCATTCCTAGATTTAGAATTGCTGAGTCAGAAGAAACGCAGTGCTTCGAAATGTAAACCCAAACCACTGTCTACGTCTAACCCTAAGAGTGAGAATAGAAGAGTCAGACCAGCAGGGGAGATGAGGCTGGTATTTATGCAAATACAGATTGGGCTCCTCTGAGCTAGGCCAAGGGTGCAGAGGTGGATGGGACATTGGCCCTGCCCTTAGAGGCTCACTTTGGAGTATGTGATGTGGAGGGGTAACCTTTAGGTGGCCCTAAAGCCTCCTCTTGGGCTCCTTGTCCTGGGGTGAGACCTGTCTCCTTAACTCCAGAACAAACAGGGAGTTGGGGGGAGGATGACCCAAGAGGCCCTGGTTCCCCAGCCAAGCCCAGCCCTCTTCCCCATCTACTTCTGTTAGAACGCCAGGGGTGGGACTGGAAAGCGGACCCTCCAGGCGACCTGAGCACCATAATGTGTTTGCCCTGAACACCTCAGTGACAGAAAGTACAGAACTTCCAACAGCCTTTTCCAGGCTTCTCCTGCACCTGCAGGCACGAAACTTGAATTCTAGGGGCGCCTGGGTGGCTCAGTCGGTTAAACATCTGACTCCTGATTTCAGCTCGGGTCATGATCTCAGGGTCGTAAGATCAAGTCCCATGTCAGGCTCCAAGCTCAGTGCAGAGTCTGCTTGAGATTCTCTCTCTCTCTCTCTTCCTCTGCCCCTCCCCCTACTCATGTTTTCTCTCTAAAGTAAATAAATAAAATAATTTGAAGGAAGGGAAGGAAGGAAGGAAAGAAGAAGGAGAGGATGGAGGAAAGGAAAGGAGAAAGAAGGAAAGAAACTTGAATTCTGGAAAGCATCTAGGCCACAAAGACCCCCAGGTGAACCGGGTGACTTTCCTGCCTCCCTCCAGGCTTCTTGGCTTCTCTCTGCCTAAACCACAGCTCCACTAATGATAAAGGCTCCCTCTGGAGCCTCCCAACCCAAAATCCTCTGCCCACCACAGGGCATCCTGCACCTCCTTCCTTCCTCCCCTCCTGACTTTGATGGGCAGGGCCTTTCCTCTTCTGCAGGACAGGCCTGTTCCTCATCTGCTCCCTCTGCCCTCCATGCTCACAACCCTCAGACTATCTCCCTATCCTGGGAGCCCCCCTTCTAACCTGCCTCACATTCTCCTTCTCTGGGCACTCTCCATCTGAGTCTCCCCAAACCCCTTTCTTAGTACCTTCCTCCACCAGAATGCTCTCCACTGTATCTACTCTGCTTTAGCTCCCTGCATTTACACCTCTGTCCGTGTCCTGGGGGCATGTCCCACCTCCCTGCTTGGGCAGGGGGAGCTGGCTGGCTTTTCTTTTTGCTAAACACTCTTCCCTCCTCCACACCTCCCCCTTGCCTCCACCTCTGCATGCACAGAATGGATCTCTGCACTTTGAGGGCCACAGACGACAGGAAGGCAGTGACAGACCAGGAGGGGAGCCCCCTGAGGGCCAGGCTGGTCCTGGTCCCCACTCTGATTTCTGAAAAAGCTTATTGGCTGCTTTTCAACTCAAGGCAGATGATTAATTCAGCCCTAACCCGACCTTGTTCTGTCTTTGAACAACAAATTAGTTTACTTGCAAATCAATCTTTTCATTTGTATTTCCATGTCACCTGGGATTCCCCCCCCTCCCCACCTCCGCCTTCCATTGGCAGCCCTGCCAGCTGGTGGCAAGAAGGTCAGCAAAGCCGCTGATAAAGGGAAGGTAAAGAGGGCTCGGTTCATGGCAAGGGGGCAGTGGTCCACTCAGCCAGCAACATGCTCCGCTTCCTGGTGTTCACCACCCCGGTCCTTTATGGTAAGTG